CCACAAAAAAGTTTCACCAATCATATGATAAATCGGAGACAAATGACACAAAATCTGAGAGGCAAATAATCTGAGACACAAACTGAGACAATCATAGAGATGAATCTCACACAAATCCAACAAAAGAAAAGAAAAAATCAAAACCTTTTTAGAACTGAGACTAACAACAACAATCGTACAAATAACAAACAAAAATACCGAAATCAAATAACATAGCACTTAAATCAGCAAATAAGCATGCAAACCTTCGTCGAGTTGGGGAAGAGGCAGAGTCTAGAAGCAACCCCAAAGCAATAATCACCAGACAAAAAATTTGTGCAACGCTCGACCCTCAGACGGTGCTTCAGTTAGACAAACCCCCCGAGGGCGTTTAATTAAAAAAAAACAAAAAAAAAAAAAAAAAAAAAAAAAAAAAAAAAAAAAAAAAAAAAAACCCAACAGAAACCAGCAAGGGATTAAAAAGACAGATATGGAAATGGTAACGGAAAAACGGTCTTTTACCGTTTTCAAAAACCAAAGCATGGAAATGGAAATGAAAACGGAAAAAGGGTCTTTTACCGTTTTCAAAAACCAAAGCCTAAAATTTTGCCATTTTGTTATCCTCATTCCTACCCAAAGTCTGCAGAAGGAGATAAAACCCAATTCAAAAAATCTTACGATACAAAAGGGAGAAAGAAGAAAATAACATATTAGGAAGGTGGAATTAAAATTAATAGCATATTCTTTAAGGAATAAAATGAATAGCAGATTTCGGATTTAAAATTTTGAAAATTCCTAAAAATACCCTCATCAGTAAAACTCCCCAAATGAACCCTAAATCCCAAAACACATGCCTGGAGTAAATACATCCGGCGCCGGATTCCACGATGAAGCCGGAAATCACACGAGAAAATCAGCCGGAATCCCACGATCTTCCTCCACTGTGAGCTTTGGCGGCGAGCTCTGGTCTGGTTGCTATGCCTAGTTTCTTCATGAAATCCGGCAGGCACGAAACGAAACGACGCGGGCAGGAGAAAAGACTTCGTCGGTGGAGAGAGATGTGTCTACGTACGAGTAGGGGATAGAGAGAGAGAGAAGAGAGGGCTGTGCGGCAGAGACGCAAGAGAGAGAGAGAGAGAGGAGGCGGAGATGGAAAGAGCGGGCTTGTGAAGAGATTGGGGTTTTCAAAATTTGAAGCAGACGTTTAGAAGTTTTTTTTTTTTAGCAACAAACGTTTAGAAGTCAAAACTAGAAAACGTTTCTAGAATATGGTTTGCCTACGTGCGGCATTTTAGAGCCCGTTTAGTTGACGGATTTGTTTTCTGATTCAAATCATGGTTCATGGTTTGTTACAGTATTTTTTTCATAAAAAACACACATAAATTAAAAATAGTTTTAATCTTATAGTTTTAATCCATGAACCAAACAGACTCTATAGATTTTATTCCCGTGTCTAAAATTTTGATTTCTTTTACCATATTTAAGAATAAAAATATCAATATTTATGAAAATATGAGTACTTAAAATTTTAAAAAATATCGATAGAAATGTCGGTAAAAATTAATGTAAAAATGAAAATTTATATTAAAATATTTTATTTTTAAATAAGATTTTAAGAAATTTTAAAATAAATAGGAACAAAATTATTTTGGTATTATGTGTTATAGCAAAACATGCTTTTGTTATCTTGTCATTCTAATATTATCTTGATACCTTATAATTTATTTTGAGATGTTAAATAACCTTAGTACTTTTTATTTAATTAATTAAAAACTAATAAATTTAGAAAAAAAATCATTAAGTTTTATATCTTGTTATTTTCTTTTAATTATTTTAATGTTTTAAAATATTTTTTGATTTTTTTAAAAAGTATTGATTTCTATTTAATTTACAAGAGTGATAGTTTAAACATTACATATTCTAAAAATTAGTTTCAAGATACTCATAAGATACTTTTTAAAATATCAAGGTACCGTATTAATATTATAAAAAACAAATGGTAGTAAGTATTGGTTTTCGAGTGCGGAAGCGTGATAGTGCGTGTATAACAAAAAAATTTCACAAAACCTTTGTATATGATATAAATTATATTAATTTATCTAATAATAAATTAATCTTATTAATTTATGATAATAGATACATTGCCGACGATTAGGACGATAACTTGAGTTGAAGTGTCAATTTGATATAGTCACTAGATCATCAATAAATAATTCATAATTAGAACTAAGTAAAATCCGCTAACCTCTCTAATTACATCTTTATCATTGAGTACTATTGATTCTCTAATGAATAGTATATTCATAAAACACATTCATAAATACGAGCTCGTTACTTATTCAAGTATTGAATCGACCTTTAAGGGAATTATTTATCTTCTTCTTCAAAACAGAGTGAATGAATTCCATCTCATATATTAACATTCTCAGTTGTCCATTTCGTCATGTTTCTAAGATACAAATAATATAATTTACGATCTCAAAATCCATACTGAGTAAATAAAAAACACGAATCTATAAACAAGAGTCTACTAATAACTCATGATTAAGATCATTCCACATATGACTATTGGTATACTCAAATTTAATTTTCTATAGTTAACGAAAATTATTAGAAAATCAAATTGTGTTTGTGTCTCAGTTTTACATAATATTATTATGCATAATACACTCATTCAATATCTCTTTATGTTAATGATGCGGATAACACCATTTCATTCTTAATGGGAATGACATGTATTAGTAATGTTTTAATTAAAGATTCTGTAAATTAAATATATTACGAACATTATTTTGATTATAATTCTTAAATATTATCCTCTCGTATATAATACTTATATACAATATTTAAGGTCAAATAAATAATCGAAAAATTTTCAGTGATACTCATAAATTATTCAATAATACATACACATAAATAATGAGTAAACTATTTTATTAATTAAATAATAAATATTCTTATTATATCTCATGCTTTAAATACACTACTTCTAACAGTTTAAGACCGACAAAGAAAGCACTAAAAGAATAGATAAATGAATATGTATTTAATTACTTGTCACTCCAAACTGAAGCTCATCCCTAGTGAGTTTATTTTGAAGGCTAAGCCTTGCCTTCTTGATTTAAGACTTGTTTATCTTTTGTTTCTTTGCATTGAAGCTTAAGAAATAGGTTAACACAGTGTTATTAGTTGATACATATTTCATAAATAGAATTTTATTATGAGTTAGAGAGTTACTATGCAAATAATTTTGACTGGTTGGTGCTGTAGTGTTGCTGAGCTATCTCATTCAGGTTCATGGCGTTTTATGCTCTTTGGGCTTGTTCTTTTGAAGTTTAACTTGAGTATAATTCTTGAGTTGAATTTGAGTTATAACTTGAGTTAAACTTGTAATTTGAGTTTGTGTTTAGTTGTGTAAATTTGAGTTATGGTTTGAAATAAGAATCTTTTTGAGTTTGTGTTTGAGTGAGTTAAAACTTGAATTTGTATTTAGATAGTATTTTAATAAAAACTCAATGCTGATGAAAAATTTTAATAGGGTATATGAGTTGGGTTTTATTCGTCTTTTCGTTGTCAACACATAGAAAAAAAATCATCTCAATCAGAATTAAAACGAAAAAGTTATAACATTTTTAAGAATAGAAAAAATATTGTTCATTAATTTGAGTTTGAGTTTATGAACTCGAGTTGAGTTTTAGTCCTAAACTCAAGTTTAAACTTAAATTTAAACTCAAGTTTAAACTTAAAAAAATATGAACTTAAATAAAATTATAATTGAAATTATTTTTTTTTTAAAAATTTTTCACTCAAAAAACAAGCTATTTATTCTTTATTCTTTAGAAGTCAAATGAGTTGTAGAAATTTATCATGGTTAGGAATACTTTTTGAGTGAGAGGATCTTCAATATGGCACTTTGTGGGACATATTGGGCTAATTTACACTCACCCTTGTACGAGGCAGAGATGGATCAATTTCTACTCCTTGGACCTCCTGACTCTTGATTGCCCAATAGCATCACACCACATCAATGATGGTATATCAATTTCACTTCTTTATTACGATATTATTACTTATATATTATTTTTAGGCTCTCTGTGGTGAGACCATTAAAAAAAATTTATCAGTGTAACATTCTATTTTAATTGTTAAATTATTCTTTCAACGTTTAAATATGCAGAGAGAATAAAATTTTACACTCTAAATATTTAATATGAATATGTATAAATTTAACCGTTAAAAACTTAATTAAATAGTCAAAACAGTATTTCATTGGTAGAATTTTTTAAAGAGTCTTACTGTAAGTTTCCTTATTTTTAAAAATAATATTTATTTTTATAAGTTCTATAGCATTTAAAATAATTAGAGTCCAAAATAAAATAACCTATTAATAATGTCATTTTTTAACTTTCTAGTACATAACGGCATTATCCACCAAAAGTCCCCTCCGAACTTTTCAATTATCTTCGGTCCTCACCAACAGGGAAGACTTTCAGCCAAAAAAAAAAAAAAAAAAGGGTTTTTTCCATTACCGGTGGAAGTATTGTTTTTTACTGTTCAATTAAAATTTCAATCGTTAAATTTGTAAAGAGATCAATTTTATGTAACGTGTTGTAAATTTTTAATATAAATTTGTGCAAATTTAACTGTTAAAAATTTAGAAAGTATTTAATATAAAAATTCGTATCATAATTCGTGACTTATTATAATATTTTTTCTCATAAAAAACACACATAAATTAATAATAATTTTAAATTTATAAACAAAATGTTAACTTAATTCAACGGTTAAAATCAACCCTTCTACCATTTTGGGGTTTTACTGTATAATTTGGAAAAAAAAATCATCAAGAGGACATTTGAAACGTAACTTTTTTTTTAATTTTTAATTTTTAATTTTTTTTGCTAATCAACGCATAACCATATTTAAAAGAGAAGAAAAAGATTTACGAGATCTAGGAGAAGGGAAAAGTCAAAAAGGTAGCGAAAAGGCCCAATCCAAAACACAGTGCTTATTGAAATAGCAGTCAGTGAAAACCGGAAGATCAAATAGTGAGCAAGGCCAAAGATAAGAACAAAACCAACCACAAGAGAAAGACAAACAGAGATAATGGAAATGGAGACGTACGGGTCGATGCCAAAGATTGAACTCCACGCTCATCTTAATGGATCCGCCAGAGACTCCACTCTCTTGTTAGTTAGCCTTTTTTTTTTTTTCTTAGAATTAGTTTGATTCGTATACTTGTGGGTTTTAAATTTTTCATTTTTTTGTGTGTTAATTTTGGTTTGCAGAGAACTTGCTAGAGGGTTGGGCGAGGAAGGTGTCATAGTTTTCTCAGATGTAGAGCATGTTATAAGGAAGAGTAAGCTCATTTTTCATTTGCTGAAAAAAAAGGGATAATTCCCATTTTCTTTTCGCAACTTGTAATTTCGATTTTGGAGGCCTTTTTGGACTTAATTTAATGGATATAATTTCAATTTTTGTTATCTCGTAACAATGCTGAAGTTGGAAAATCTATTTTCGTTGTTGCTCTTTATGTTTTTCAGTTCTTCTTTAGCTGTGATTCTTCCTTAATGAAAAACGCTGTATGTTCTATATAATTCAGGTGATCGTTCTTTAACGGAAGTGTTCAAGTTGTTTGACTTGATCCACATTCTTACCACTGATCACAAGATTATTACAAGAATCACCAAAGAAGTAAGCATTCTTGGCATGTCATGACTAATTTTATTATGAATGTCATGAATACACGTATCGGAATTATGTGATTTTGTAAAACTGAAATTATTGTTTTGTCGTAGCCTTTTTCAAGATATATTTAGCCCCCTTTTGGTTTACAGTTATGAACCAAACGGGCCTAAGAATTTGTATTTATTTATTTATTTATTTTATGATGTGTATCACTTTCGATATGTCAAAGTTCTTTTTTTTTGTTGGCCCCCAACATTCTTTGTTGATGTTATATTTTGTTTCAAACTAGGTAATAGAAGACTTTGCTTCTGAGAATGTTGTGTATCTGGAGCTAAGAACAACCCCAAAGGTACAGAAACATCTGTTCTTGAGGAAGGGAGGATGTATTTGCATGTAATAAAGACTTATATGATAAAATGATGGATTTTGTCCTACACAGAAAAATATTTCCATAGGGATGACCAAGCGCTCTTACATGGAAGCTGTGATAGAGGGTCTAAAGGCTATTACTTCCGTGGATGTTGATTTTATGCCTCATGACGTGGACGCTCGAAGTGGCCTGAATTCTCTATCTACAGGCCGTACATGTAATGGAACATCAAGAAAAAAGATATATGTCAGACTTCTTCTGAGCATTGACCGCAGGGAAACCACTGAGGCTGCAATGGAGACAGTATGTAGGAAAATGAGATCTATCAGGAAGCGAATTAGGTCTTTGTTTGCCCCGTGAAATGCAGTTGATTTGTTCTTTCACTTATTGTAGGTGAAGCTCGCGCTTGAACTGAGACAATTTGGGGTAGTTGGCATTGACCTTTCCGGAAATCCTATTGTGGGAGAATGGTAGGTCCTCTTTAGACCAAATGTGTTCTCATTTTGGCATTATGATTTACGTGATGCAGAATAATAATCTTTTGTTATCCTTTGTGTATGTTGCAGGGCCACATTTTTGCCGGCACTAAAATTTGCTAGAGAGCTGGGTCTTTGTATAACCCTTCATTGTGGAGAGGTGCATTCATCAGATCTTTCAAATGGCTCTGCCGTCTTCTGGTAGAATTTCCGTGACTAATTTATTTTCATAACTTAGTGCTTATAGGTACCTAATCCAACAGAGATACGATCAATGCTAGACTTTTTACCCCAGAGGATTGGCCATGCTTGCTGCTTTGAAGAAGCAGAATGGAAGAAACTGAAATCATTTAATATTCCGGTTAGAAATTTGTGACATCAAATATCAATCCTTCTCTTGATGATAAATTTTAACATTATAAGCTGTTACTTTTATTTTTATTTTTTTGGCTAAACTATTGTAATAGCATGTTAAATATGAAGTTCCTATTTCTCAAGACTTGCATTAACCGAATACCGAGGAGAAGATGTTAGTGCTAATGTACTATTATCTAATAGTCATCCTTTTCGAAGTTTACCTCATTCTTGGAGATGATAGACTGATGTGATATATATGATCAAAGGCTGTTTTACTGTTTCATCCGACCTATGCATCAATAGGAACCTAAGCACTTCTTTCTAGCTAATGTGTCCAGAATGAAATACTTCTCATATTCAATTACTTGTTTTCATGTTGCTTTTTGTAAAAAGGATTTTGGAGATTGTTAGCGTATCTAGTTTCAGATTTTTTATTTATTATGTCTGGTGTTTTTGGTTTGCTGATTTCACTCTTGTTTGATTAACAATTTTTCAGGTTGAGATTTGTCTGACATCCAACATCAGGACTAATACAATTTCTTCACTAGATGTTCACCATTTTGGTTGGATCTTCTGCTTCTTTTTAACTTAATATATATAATTCGCGAGTAATATCGTTAGGTCTTCTTTTTCTTCATTTTCTAAAGAAGCCCTAAAGAAGCCTCATAAGTTTCTGCCCTTTAGTTGAAGCATGCCGGTTTTCTGTCACATACATTCTTTATTGTATCTAGTGTAAATCTGTATGTTTGATGGCACAGCTGATCTCTATAACGCAAAACATCCTTTAGTCCTCTGCACCGACGATGTTGGAGTGTTCTCCACCAGTCTTTCTGGCGAGTACAAAGTCGCTTCTTCTGCATTTGGTAGGTCTGATCTTACTGTTTCATAACTTGATTGTAATGGGTATAAGATTAGAAAGCTAACCAAAATCATCATTTCATTCTACCATTAAGGTCTTGGAAAGGGGGAAATGTTTCAGCTAGCGAGAAATGCAGTTGAGTTTGTGTTTGCTGATGATGGGGTGAAGAGGGAGTTAAGAGAGGTCTTTAATTCAGCTGAAAACAGGCTGGATTTATTATCATGATTGCATTTCTGAGGGATATCTTGCTTCTTGTAGCTTTTCTTGTTTTCAGGTAAAATATGGGCCATAATGCTGCAAAAACTGATAATGCTTTTGGGCACCACCTACTAATAGAAGTGGGCCCTACCAGTACGTGGGACCCACATTCTATTACGGTGTCCCCAAGCATTTCTCAATACGAATCCCCACTTAATCTCTTGAGACTTACTCATCTAATTTGGCATTTGACTTTGCAGGTTTTTTGGCCTGGTCTGAGTGGTCAATATACTCTGCTATTTTGGATGGCTTATAACTAAAACAGCACTTTATAAACTAGGTATTCTAGCGGCCGCCATACCATCCCTCCATTTGTTTCGAGCAGAATATGACCTAGTCTTGATATTTTACTTTCAAATTGATTGTTTTTCATTTCCAGGACTATTATTACTAGAGGGGAAAACACATCATTTACTGATAGAAATAACATATTCTTAGTATTCCTACATTCTAGCCTTTGTGAATCGATATATAGCTTTGATATTGTTACTACATCATACTTCCAATCGTTCATGTGATAAAATTTGCAATAACTAGAGCGACCAATGTCCCAACTTCTCAAGAGAGCTCAAGGTTAATTCTCCCTCACGCCCTATGCTGTGGGATTGGGGCACTCCAGTGGGAACATAAATAGGAGAATGGCTCTTTTGAATGTTTTTAAATTGGCATCTCTGTTTTTTATTTTTTATTTTAACATGCCATTTAGTCAAAAGAGCTTTCTGTGGGTTCATAATCATGTTTATGATTGACATGTGTAAAATTGACAGAATCTAATATAAATTTGACAGTGTAAAATAGTCCTACTGTAAGGATGAAAAGATACCACACCTTGAAAAGCTCATTGATTAAAATATCTTTGTCATGTATATATCAACAGTTTTTTTTTTTTTTAGAAAAAATAAAGGACGTGTCTTTGTCTTATATGATAATATCATTAATATGGTACTAGAAGGTGTAAAGTTATTGATTGTATTTATTTTTTTGGTGAAATAACTTGTGTTTTGAAATACAACGATCTATCTATAGTCATACGCTTAGTTTAGTAGTGTCGGGAATTTTAGAAAAATTATTTTTAATTGTGTTAAAAAAAAAACAGTTGTTATAAGAAGCAGCTGAGTGTTTAGTAAACTATAATTATAATAGTTGTGCTAATTTTAAAATTAGGTAAATTTTGAGGTTGAATTGTTATGGGTATGTAAAATGATCAAAATAGACATGATATGTAACTTAAATATATATAATTATTTTTAGTATTTAAAAATACTTGTTTAACTTTAAAAAAAAAATATAATGCTATGATTTTAAATTTTTTAACAATAAATTTATGATAATTAATTCTTTTTTTTTTATTTCTTCATTCACAATATAATTACAACTAAAAAGAACATTAGTGACAATTACTCAAGGACAGTTGCAGTCTTCGAGTTGTGGAATTATTTTGTGCTCTCTCTCTTACAAAGCTTGACAGAGACAGTTGCAGTCTTAATAACGCAACTAAATACCATAATTATCAATTTTGATGGGGTTCTTCTCAAAAATTTGTAAGAAAATATGATAAATTTGTTGACAAATTTCATACCAAGAAACGGGTTAAGCCAAATGATAATTAATTATAAGACCACAAATAAAGAACCTTTCAAACATATTGATATCCATACACACACTTACACTCACGTAAATGAGCAAATTCACACGTTGATATCCATACACAAGAAAAAAGAGCAACCACCCTTCAAAATACACTCATTGATGTCCACACAAACACGTTTAGTACACACACACACACATGTAAATACAAACATATATATCCATACACACACATGTAAATGCAAACATATATATCCATACACACACAAGGACAAACAATAAAAGCTTAACGACGTCTATTCTTCGAGCTTGAACAGCGAGATGTAACGGTGTCCAACCATCCTGCAAGGACAAACAAAATGGAAATATCTCTTATAAGATCATTGAGATGGCACCAAAAGGCTTAGCAACAACAAGGACTTATCAACTTACATTATCTGGAAGGTTCATATCAAACATTATACAAGAGGAGAATTTTAATTGCTTGAATGGAAGCTGTTCGGACCGCATAATGCATCAAGGTTACCCCATCCTGTTTCCAACAAACAGAAAACAGAAATAAACAAATTATAAGATGTGAAGGCCATAATATTGAACCCAAACTGTTTATAAAAAAACAAAAGATTGCAACCACAAGCCATGACCAAAAAAAAAAAATTCTTCAAACTTCCATGCTAAACGAAATAGTCACTTAAAGCAAATATCCAAGCAATTAAAAAGATAAACAAACAAGTCAGGGGGCTCTATATCTAACTCCGAATGTATTCTTGGATCGTTTTGCATGCATAGGCTTCAGTTTAGCATAATCAAACTTGATACTTAGAAAATATGTTTTAACTATAAAGTACGGATTTAATATAACAATTACTAATAGAATTAGCTAAACAGTTAAGAAATGGCATTTAACAAGATGAAGTGAAGGTGATAAGCATATACTCACTTTATCACAAACAAATGGATTTACTGATGCCCTCAAAAGATAGTAATCGCCTGCTTTTTGCCAATTATTGCTTTGTGAATAGCTGTACAACCATCCTAGCATATAGTAAACCGAAAGCCAAAATGACGAAAGAATCAAAACATGCAACAATTTCCTAAATTTAATTTGCCATTAGAAGGCAGTTCATTTGACATTACCTTATCCACAACATTGATATCAACATTATGCTTCAACAGGGTATCAACAAGGTAAAAAGCTCATGATGCAGCTAGAGTGTGAAGAAGCAGCCATTTATCCTGCAAACGTTTTCTTCATGATTTACATGTGCGGAGTTGTTGATTTAAAGAAAATTAATCACCAGACTAATATCTGAAAGATGTAACTTTTAAAGTATTCATTTCTCTGAGGAATCCCCTAGTCAAGATAAAATAAATAGCAACTTTAAAAGAAGTGCAATAAACAATAAACAAGTAAAATGGGATGGTAATGGAACATGCAAGACTTATAGAGGTAGCAGTTACCAGATCAAATATTCGTTTATTTAGCAGAACCTTTTCCTCCTTCGAAAACAACTTCCTTGGCCCTATTAAATTAAAAAAGAAAAAATTAAAACTTGAATTTTTTTTTTATACTTATACCAAGCACTACTTATAAAAATAAAAATAACAAAAAAAGAAAATCATACAATCCATATTGCACATATAAAAAAAAAAAACGGTCTGTAAGGAAAAGAAATCGCAACATGAAATAGATGTCAAATATTAAAACAAAATTTCTAGCCCCAATTGAAAAAAAAAAATCTTTTGCTTATTAGAATACAGAATTGGGAAAGATGAAAATTGTAAAATTATACAAAAGAGGGAAATTTAAACACATATAACATATATTGCTTATCCCTAGAGTTGGGGAAAATGAAGAGAGAGAGAGATTACCTCCGGATTTCCTCTCAGCAGGATCATAATTTCCACCATTGAAGAACTCCGTAACATGATCGAAACCCTTTCCGTACACCGCCCACCTCGGATTCCTAGGGCTCACTTGGCCACTCGAATTCTCCTTCTCACCATTTCCGAATTCTCCTCCTCCTTCTTCTTCTTCGCCATTTCCCAAACCCTTGGGATTATCCAGAACCAGCGGCTTCAGCTGCGGCAATTTGGCCTCGCGGAAAGCCAAATACTCCTCCAAATTAACATTCTTCAATGGCGCCAAGTCGCTCCTCTTCTTCTCAACCCTAGTCCCGAACTCCAACTCCTAAGCGATCTTCCGCCGCTCCTTCTTCGTGATGTTGATCTCCGCCTGGACTTCCCTCCACTTGTCCGGCACCAGATTCTCCGTCGGAACAATCGGAGCTTTCTTCTTCTTATTCTCCGGCTTGGCTAGGGTTTCGCCGTCTTCATTGTGGTGGAGAAGATAAGGGTCTTTGAAGGCGCCGTCTTCGAAGACGACGCAGTCGCCGATGACGTAGTCGTCAGAGATGGAGGAGGAGAGAGAGAAAGGTGGTGGCTTTCTGAGGGAGAGTTTGAGAGAAGAAGAAGAAGAAGAGGAGGAGAGAGAAAGAGTGGTGATGGGGATGGCGAAGGAGCAGAAACAAACCTCAGAGAGGAGAGATGGCGAGAGGAGAGGCTTAGGTTTGAGGGTTATTTTGGGAATAACAAAAATTTCGTTAACGAAGGCAGAAGATTCCCGCACAATCCGCACAATCCGCAATCAACAGCAAGTGAGCATTTCAGCCTAAAATAGTTTTTAGATTATCTAAGAATCCATTTTTATAATGTTTACTAAACACATTTTTTAACTTTAGTTGTAAAAAAAAATTGATTTTAACTTCTCAAAATCTCTACTAACTAAGCATAGTTGTCAAGGCAAAGCCAGGCAAGGAATTGACTCTGGCTTAGTTTAGTATGGCTGTGAATTTTAAAAAAATTATTTTTAACTGTGTTAAAAAAAATAGCTATTATAAGAAGTAGTTGAGTTTTTAGTAAACTGTAATTATAATAGCTGTGTTGATTCTAAAATCAGTGTAATAACGTTTAGTAAATTTTAATGTTAAATTACTGTAGATATATAAAATGACCAAAATAAACATGGTATGTAACTTAAGTATATTAATTGTTTTTGGCATTTAGAAATATTTATTTAACTTAAAAAAAATATAATGCTATGATTTTAAATTTTTTAACAATAAATTTATGATAATTAATTCTTTTTTTTTCATATCTTCATTCACAATATAGTTACAACTAAAAAGAGCATTAGTGAGTAATCAATTTGTTGAACAAAAAAGTACACTTCATGTTCAAAAAACTGACAGAGTCATTAAAAGAATTAAATCGTGTTCATTAAACTTGTCGCAATTTGATCTCGTACTTCAACTATTTCTTGTGATAGTGAAGCTTCATCTTCTTCTACATTGTCCTCGAACGTAGTATCAAATTCAAGAATAAACTGAACTCTAGAGTTATGGGACAATCTTATTCACTAGAATTTTTCTCCCACGTCTCCTAGCATGAAACGATCTCTCCTTGAAGTTGAACATACAACTTTCTTACAATTCTCGTGAAAAAGAGACATGGCTTGGTACTCTCCACCACCGCAATGACCTTTATCCAAAGAACTAAATAAGCTACCACCATTAGGCAACATATAAGTGAAAGCAGATTTGAAAGAAAATAATCTACAATATTAGCGGAAATACACTTAAATAGACAGTCAAGGTAGCACTCCAAGCATCTTGCTTATTAACTAATAGCACTCCAAGCACGAACCCTTCTCTTTACGCTAATTAATCAAAACATTAACTTAAGGATCACAATACTATATTGGAATAAGCTCATATAAGGGAACACAAAGTGAAAAGATAAATAAATAAATGAATTCATCAGCATTTACGACAATTGGAAGCTGATAACGTGCTAAATGCTAGAAAAGGAGTTACCAAAGCTGATAACGTGCTACAGCATTTAAAAGACAAATGACACTAGATCTAGGCGAAATTTTCCTGACAAGATCTTGAGCTTGGATCACAAAGGATGAAAACAAACTATAGCCAATCTATCGGCCACCGTTAGCATCAAAGGGCCTCGATGAAAACCATATAAAAATCAGGGGAAAAAAATTAAGAAAAAATAAATCTAGATTGTGAACTTAAATTACCTTCACGAAAGTCCAAATATTGGAAAGCTGAGCGTGTAAACCTATACATTACTATTAGGGTAGGGTTTCTAGGAGAATGAGGGCGTGACTCCACAAACGCATATGCATATTTATATCTATAAAAGCATCATAATTTTGTTTGAGCTTTGTACACCTTAAGAATGATCGCTTTAGTCCACAACTTTTATAAAAAAAAAAGGTTGTTCCACCAGTTTATAGTCAACCATTCATTTTACATCCTAAACCCAAAAGCCTACAGAATATAGCATGATTAAGCAAGTAAAGTCTAGAACACAACAAAAATAACCCTTGAACCAAATTTTCTCACAATATGTACGTATATACAACACAGAACAAAACTCCATTGTTGGTGCTTAGCTCAAAGCTCTACAAGAACATTAAAACCAAATACAATAGAACATTGGAGTTACCGAGCTGTTATAAGCGACGAGTCACCGGCGGATATGTGGCCGGCGCTGGAGATATCCCAAAATCCCGGCCATGAATCCTTGCAGTCAGCGTGCCGTTGGAGAAGCAATTCTTGCGTATTCTCGGCGTAAATCCACACATGAACTACTCGATGGTAATCCTCATCTCGATGCACATCTCCTCTATACAACACGCCAAATTATCTCATGGATTCAGATTAACAAAAAGGCTTTAGAATCTTTCTTTTTTCTTTTTTTTTTTTTGTTTTGTATTTATTTTACTCTCTTGGAGGAACAAAATCCATGATAGTATTCACAATGAATCCCGGATCAGTTACAATAACATTGTAAAGTTCAATTCTCGAAGTTGACTATTGAAAGAAAGAAACGAAGATTATGTCATGTTTGTTTGCCGAGAAAGAAAATCAGAGAAAATACAACAGGAGAAGAGAAAAAAAAGGTAAAGGATGGCTTACCTGGGTTTGGAAATACCAGTCTTTTGACCGGTTTGAATGAGGACGTCGAGGTGTTCCTCTTGCAATCCAGCATCGCCCACCGCCATTGCTCCGTCTCTAAGCTAAGTCTAAATAGAATTCTTTTTTATGAATAAATAGGAAGTAGGAAATTTTTTAAATTCTTATTCCCTGCTAGGTAGAAGAAGGAAGACTTTTGCCATCAGTGTCACCACCAATGGTAGAATCTGATTCTGTCCCGGCAGTCGGAGGAGGAGATGGGAGACCGGCAAACGGACAATCGGGCGGAGGAGAAACCAAACGAGCTCTGAGAGGCCAACGGGGAGAGCACCCGACGAACGGAGAGAGAGGCCGGTGAACGGAGCCGGGGAACCTCGCTTCGAACGGTGAGGAGGAGAGAGGATAGAACTCTCAAAAAAAAATTCGCAGAGGAGGATGAGAGATACGAGTGGAGGAGAGATCTGAAATGAAAATTAGTGGTAAATTTCAGATTTCAGTGGGGGTAAAATTGAAAATAAAAAATTTCATTAAACCCTCAAAATTAATTCCCACATAAGCTGAAATCAGAATCAGCCTTTTAGTTTCAAATTGGGAGTAAATTGTTTAAAAATCTATTTTACCAAATAAATTTTTAGATTTTGGATCTCTCAATAAATGCTTTTTTCTCCTAAAAGTAATACCAAACCCACCCAATGGGCCTGTTTGTTTCCATTTCTGTTTCCATTTTTCACAGTTTTCGAGAATAAAAAATGAAAACGTGTAATGAAAACGCGTTTGGTGTAAAATTTTTCAAAACTTAAAAACAAAAATGATCTTGTCTTTTTCTGAAAATCTGAAAATGGATTATTTCTGTTTACATTTTTCCGTTTTCGTTTTCTCTCCTCAGCTCTGACCAT